CCCTGGCTTTTGTGACTGGAGGTAAAAAACCATTGTTTAACTGAAGAAAATCCATAGCCTCTTGTGCGCGAGTTGGTTTACAACAGCTTGTATCTGTACATCTTTAATATCAAGAGAATATTGACACAGGTTACAATGATCTTCAATCTATGACCATGGCACAAAACATTCTGATGAGTAATTTCCATTTTCTTGTTGTTTCTTTTTTTGTTGTTTTTGTGTTCCCGCCTTTTCTTTTTCTTTTTCTGTATCTCCAAACTCCAGGTTTTCAAACAGATTGGCAAGTTCTTCGACATATTGTGCATTTACGCTTCTTCTAAAAATCAAATCACGATGCCAAATATCACAAAGCACCTCTCCGGCATATCGAAAGTTTTGAAGAGCCAATTCTGGATTAATCACTTTACCTTGTGTATCTAGATACGTCCCAAAGTGATCGATTGGTAGAGTAATACCTGCCAATTTTCCAGATAGTGTTGCTATGCCCTTTTCAATAGAATTATACTTGGATTATCCCGGTGCGTGTTTCCGCACAGTGAGGTAATCTAAATCAAATTTTCAAAAAAGCTAAATGTATTTTTTAATATTCTTTAAATGTCTTGGATTCTCATCTGGTCTCCCATCCACTAATAATATCCAGATAGGTCAAATTTCTCCGTCGGCCTTCAACGCATCATCATATTGAGGATCTAGAATGAGGCTTTCGAGGTCTTACATATGTATGAGTGAAGAAGTTCCAAGGGACCATTGACGATGTACAAAAATGGCAAGTTGTCCCGTTCTCAAATCATCATTTAATTCATTCAGTTTGATCATAAGGTAAACCGATGGAATTAACTTTTGCCCATATCCTGCAGGAAAGTCATGATCGGCTACATGAACAGGCTCGTGAACTGACTGTAATGTGCGGAATGTCCGACCTACAGCCGGTATCCCAAGACCTATCTTTGCCTTGTCATCTTGAGAAATGACAACAGATTTATCGGCAAAGACGGTGGCAAATTGCTTTGCATATTTAACAGACGCAAGACAGTAATGACCATCAGGATAGTCCCGTGTTTTAGTACGTGAAACTCCAGCCACTGCGACCCAAGCCGGATGATGATGCGCTTTTGCAGCAATGAAATTGGATTTACGAGGAAACAGGTAATTATTCAATGTTATTCGTGTCATGTATATATTGTAGTTCTCTTCAAGATTCTTGCGTAAATTTTCGATAATTCGCACCTTAACAACTTCTTTCCTTCGTTTTTCATCAGCTGCTCCAAATTTGATTGAATCATGAATATGATCATGTAAATTCGGATGCTTGAAAAGAAGTGGAGGACAGCCAGGTTTATCATACTGTACCACTTCCTGATTTTCTTCTTGTTAGATTCGATTTCATCACAGAAGTTCTCTATTTTTGCATGAACATCATGCCGAATTTGAGGATCCGTGGTGATTTTGTAGACCTGCCTAAGTTCAGTAGGTTTTTCTTCAAGTTTTTTTATGTCATTCACTAAATTTTTTTGAGCTGACGCATTTACAGAAATGTCTAATACAGGATCTACCAAACGAGTTCGAGTATTAAGAGGAGGAGGAGGAGTTGGGTCTTCCCTAGTAACATGCAACCTTGGTTTCATTGTTTGTATATCATATAGGTTACACAGCGTAATCAGATAATTTCTAATTATATCATCAATTTCTGATTCGCCGTTGCCTTTAATTTTGTTCCATTCTTTCGCTGCTTCGTGAAAATATCAGCACGATTAGGGGTGCAGTTTCCTGTCTTAACCATAATACTGTATATATAAGCGTTGGTAAACTCTTGA